TTTTATATTAAATTTAAGCTAGTAACACATACATAAAGTATATTTAAAGTATAATACAAAATGATATTGTGTACAGTACAAGTACAAATTGATGTTAGATATTTTAGTTCAGTGAATTTTTGATATATAAAAAATGATATATAAAAAAATAATAGATATAAGCAGTTTCTAATTATTGTTAATTTACAAATTATTGTCTCTTTACAAAAAGTTATATGTAAAATATTCAAACAATTTTAACAATCTTTTTTAATTAAATCTAATTTTTATAAATAAATATAAAATTGATATCACAACAAAAAGTTTACTTAAAATGAAAAATCTTTACTTTCAATAGCATAATCGAAAATAAAATTTTAAATCGTTATTTCAGTAAAATTACATAATAATATTTAAACAATCTGAAATCTTAGCCTTAAATAGAGGAAACTAATGCTCAGCACATTTTTCACTTTTTCGGCACTAGCTTTCTAAACAATTAATTAAAATATTTCAATTGGTTAAAATATATCAATTGATTAAAATATATTAATATGATAAAAAAATCCTTTTTTTACATTGTATTTTCATATCAGGAATGGTTACATCTGTACATTATATAGTTTATTATATAGTTTCTTCGTAGTAAATAAAATATGAACATGCTGCATTGTATAATCATCTTACTCCTATATTGAAATAAATTGATGTAGATCGCGATAAAAGTTCGCTGTACAACAAATTATAAGTTATTAAGTTAATGAAAATCTAATAAAAATAAAAAACAGATCGCAGATATGTATTTCTTTTAGTAAACATATTTTTTAAAGTTACTTTATAATGATCAAATAGCAAGTGTTATTTTTATAGAAAAATAAATATAAATTATTTTAATTGTAATATATTTTAATACAAAGATATTAAATATAAAATATTTTATCAGAATTAATGTAATTGAATGTTCACGCATGTTGCAAGTCTAGCTAATCTTTCCTAAAATATGAGCAAAAAAAAACGCATCCCTATATATCCTATCTCTATATATGTAATTTTAATCATTTTACTATAATAAATTACTGTTATTTCTCAAAGTAATATGTATAAGTAAAAATTACATATAGTAATATAAATATTTCTTTAATTAATAATATATCCCTTATTAATTAATAATATATTCCTTATTTACTTCCTCAAGATAAAGAATATTATTACAAGATTATGAAACGTTAAAAAAATTATGTCTCCTCAAATTTTTCTCTTCTTCTTATTGTAACATTTGCTTGATTTTTATCATAAACTTGTTTGATTAAAAACTTAGGAAAAGGAACTCACATTATAAAAAATACATTATAAAAGTTACTTTACAGTAACTTTTCCATTATTTTCTTTGCCATAAATACATAAATGGAACGCAATGCCAAGTTGCTTGTTGTGCCAACAAGCATCGGTCTCCCCTATAAAGAACACTGACATATTTGCACATATATTCTTTGATCATTTTCCTTATTGTATAAAGTATCCTCATTTTATCATATTTTCTTGAAATAGAAAAAAAAAAAACAAAAGACGGATTAACAAAATTGTTATGAAACTATACATTTTTGACTAAAACTAATTTTCAATTTATTTTTCGTTAGATTATTCGTTATATTATAGGATATTATAGGATTATATTGACGTCAATTTGTGAGAGTACAATACATTTATGTATATATTGAACACAAACATAAGTATATTGAAACATAAACAATAAATAAAAATTCGTATAAAAATAAAATTGTTTAATTATGAAAGAAAAATATCTTTATATAATATTACAAACTGTTAAAAAAATAATTTGCTCTATTTTGGTTTTAGATACATTTGGTACATTAATTTCAAAATCTTGTATCAGTATTACTATAAAAAACGTATGATTAAAAATAAAAAATATATATTTATGATTTCTGATAAAAATAACAATTACAAATTTAGTTGTTGCATTACTCGTATTTTTACTAGATACACGATAAATTAAAAATACACTAAATATACACTAAACATAAGATTATATAAAGAACAAAAGAATAAAAAAAAAATAAAACATAAATTCCTATTATGCTTTTATGACTTATGTATCCAATTGAATAAAGACATAATAAATATTATAAATTATTTAAACGATATTGTATCTATTACTTCATTAAAAAACATTGAATAATGATATTGTGTGTGTTAAAATAAAATACTCTCTAATTGATCTTTTCTTTAATCTAATTCATTTAATAAAAAGTGATGGCTGTCGTACATTAATACTGCGCTTCTCTTAGGGTCGAGACCCTGCGATCTCCAGATAAATATTTATGAAGAATATTATTATCTCTAAAGAGATAATACCCAAGCAGAACAACAAGTCATTAAGATGTCAAAATGACTTCAGAATAATCATTAAAATTCATTTTTCAATCATTTCCGATTCATTTATTATTCTGACGTTATCGTGACTTGTTGTTCTGCTTCAGTAAGAAATATGACTTCGCAACATTTATGTACTTTATATTTACGCAACTTTTGATATTATTAATTTTATTGTGGCGTACATACAGTATGCGTACATACAGCAGTTAGTAACAGAATCTTGTTCGTTATACGCGCATCTCATCATCAGTCAATCCGAAAATTCTTGTCGTGATGGAACCTTTTACTTTACTTCTGTTTATTCTAACAGCGAGTATCTGCTTGTATTATATTCTAAATAAGTTATTTTTTAAATTATCTTATTTCGAGCAACTAAAAATTCCCCATGTACGACCAATTCCAATATTGGGAAACATGGCGCCTTTTGCTTTTCGACGTATGTGCCATATGGAGCTTCAACAAAAAATGTATAATCACTTTTCGAACGCAAAGTTCTTCGGTTTCTACGATTTTATAATGCCAATTTTTATTATTCGTGACCCAGATTTGATTTCCACAATCGCTATAAAACAGTTTGATAATTTCTGCGATCACCATGGTTTCGTCAATGAAATTCTCGATCCGATAGCCGGCAGAAATTTGTTTAACCTAAAAGGGGATCACTGGCGCGAAATGCGGAAACTTCTTAGTCCCAGTTTTACATCTAGCAAGATGAAGATGATGTTTGGACTTATTTGCCAGTGTGCAGAGAACTTCTCCAATTTTGTAGCAATGCAAACCGAAGAAGCTGCCAAAACGTATAACATGAAGGATTTACTTTCTAGATACACTAACGATACAGTGGCCACGTGTGCCTTCGGTATTGAAGTGGATTCTTTTAAAAATCCGAACAACGAATTCTTTTTACTTGGCAAGAAGGCATTTAATTTTGATGGCTGGTTAGCTTTCAAGTTTTTAATGCATAGAAACTTTCCGCAACTTGCGAAACTCATCAAGCTGAGAATGTTCGGTCCAGAGGTAGAGAATTTTTTCAAAGATATTGTTGCCACCACAGTGAAGACCAGAGATGAGCAAGGAATTGTTCGCCCGGACATGATTCAATTGATGATGGAGACCAGAAACAAGAATATCGGCCCTGAATATGACATTAACGAAATGACGGCCCAAGCATTTGTTTTCTTTCTCGCCGGATTTGATACTATATCATCAGCTATGTGTTTCACAACGTATGAAATCGGTATCAATCCTGATGTTCAGAGAAAATTAAGAGAGGAAGTCGACGATGTTCTTAGGCAGACCAACGGCAAGCCTACCTACGAGGCTATCAATTGTATGAAATATTTGGACGCTGTGATAAGTGAAGCTCTCAGATTGTATCCAGTAGCATCTTTTCTTGATAGAAAATGCGTTAAAGAAACCAAATTACCACCAGCGACTCCGGATGGTAAACCGATCACGATTAAGCCTGGAGATAGCATATGGATTCCGAATTTCAGTCTGCATCGAGATCCAAAGTACTATCCGCATCCAGATAAGTTTGATCCAGACAGATTTCTTAATGGTGATGTAGACAACTCGGTCTATATGCCATTTGGTATCGGACCCAGAATCTGTATAGGTAACAGGTTTGCTCTAATGCAAGCAAAAATCATGTTGTTCTATTTACTTTGGCGTTGCGATCTCGAACCCGACATTAAAACTCGAATTCCTCTGGTATTTAGCAAGAAAATGTTTCTCATGATGGCGGATGGAGGTTTTTGGTTGAAGTTGCGAACAAGAAAATCGAAAGGTACTGCATTATTACATAATGCTTATTGAACGGATATAAATTTGAGGAACAATGAATGAATCATAAATTTTTTGTTTTAAGCATATTAATGATATTATTAGATACATGCATAAGTTTCCGCAATCTTTTTAAGAGTATATTTATTAATATAAACAAATATTTCAATCAGTAGTATTTTTTTTTAATCTATCACTTTTTGTAATCTTCCAGGCAGTTTACGAATACTGCGGTAAAATAATATTGCGATTCGCTTTGAAAAGCGATTTATTGTTCACTTTGAAATCACTATATTTAAATTTATTAAATCAATTTCGGTTCTTGATAATACACACAATATTATTTCTTTAAATCTTATCAATTTTTCTTGTTGTTTGA